ATGAGATCCACATATAAGGACATTTGTTTTAAATGTCGATAGAACAGCGGCAGTATAATGTCCTTGTATCTGGGTATCAGGCCCTTGTAGAGCAAAATGTATTATTTTGGTCTAGACATCCCAAAATGTGATGTCCACATACGTGGACGCCAGGTCCTAGGAGGTTAAAAACACAAAACAAAAAAACTACAATAAAACTCACTTTTATCCCAATTTATATTTGAAATCTGGTTCTTATGTCAGTTTCCATTAAGGCAACGACAGCGATACTTCCATTCAAGCATTAATGATGCCGACCAACATTTACTGGCTGGATACCCTTTTAATTAAATATCTTCTCTTATATTGCGACACAATATCTTTGCATATGAGTCATTTACTAGCAACTATAGTGTTTTAATGTTAACATCCTACTGGGAAAATGCAATCCATAAACTGTGAACCCACTGCAGTTATTGGAGACTCACAAACAGAGCCAAATGAACCAACGTTTTTCCCCTGACTGTGTTTTACTCGAGGAAAGTCCTGCTCTTTTTATTCCTCCTCTTAGGTCGGGAGGCTTAAATAACAGACCGGAGCCTGTCTTTATGCAGGAAACTCGCAGTTTCAGACAGATTTGCAGGAAAACCACCTACACAGATGATGTAACAATGTCGCCTAGGTAGGCAGATAGGTAAGTAGGAAGGAGAGTAGGCTGAGACTCACTATTTAGGTACTTTGTTATAAAGATAGCAACACTGTGCTTGATCTTAGTAATTTAAAAGGAGGGTTGTGACATTTGCATGATAGCGAATACAGAGCCATGCAACACAGGCATCACAGCCATTCCCTGTCAAATCGTGGGAATCTCATTTAGGACACAGCAGTATATTCTAACAGGGCCATTATATAGTGTAAAGGAGTGGCAAGTGTATAAATCTGTATTTATGGCCGTATTTAACTGCTCAACAAATTGTCTGTTCATTGATTATGGACTTTTACAGTCATTATTCCCTAATTGAATTTTAAATGACCACCATAGATGGGAATGTGAATGATTACATTGTAAGGGAGTAGGCTCTTAGTGGCGTGTTCTTGTGAGTGTACTGTACGTGCCATTGTGCACCAGCATTCAATAATCAAACGTCCCTCCTTCCCTGCTGGGCTCTCTCACTGAGTCTTATTTTCTCTCTCTCTATCTTGTCTAAGCGTCTCAGTGGTGACTTTAGCAGAAGCAGTGAAACCAGCCTATTTAGGTTTCGGCCGCACTTGGTCCCTACTCCCCGTCCTGCTATTGATGAATTGACTTCATAAAGCACTGAGGCAGCACACTCTGTCGTCAGTAATCAATGCCCAGATCCATTCTTTTCTCTTCATTCTAGGAGGCGTCTGGAGCTTTCCCACCACTGAACAGATGAGCCCCGTGTCTTTGGGGAAATGTCCTCCAAAAACTAGCGTCCTTTTCACGCTGTCTGACACATGCAAACTGAAGACATTGAATGTGGCTGTTGTCAAATATAGCACATCTAACTCTCCTTAGCCTCATCTGTTGTATTTGAATTAAAGCAGATCAGCTATCGTTACAGCTTGAATTCCTTTTCATCTGAGCTCTGAACATTTTTCATGCAGGCTTTTTAATTTGTGTTATGCTGCTGTCTCATTTCATTCTCACCCTTCGCCCGGTTAGACTGTAACAGATGCCAGCAAACAAATTGTATATGATTACATAAAGCAAGTAAAAGCACTTTTGTTGGTCAAGGTTAATGCTTTTGTTTATTAACAGAAATGCATCAGAGATGGATTTGCTCTAGTTACAGGGGGCTTTTTACCAATTCATGTGCCTGTGCTCTGGTCAGTATGTTTGGGCGCATAAAGCCACAGGTGTCAGCACGTTAACTTAACTGTATGACAATTGTGCCCATTGTTTGGTTTTTTTAATTAAGCATGCTAAATATATAAAATATCAAAGGTAAAACACTTTTTGTACAGCAAACTGTCATGTTCCTGTGAGGATCATGAGAGGATTGTTTTCACAGACAGGCACCAGGTTATATCAGGGTATATCATTGTCCCTGGCAGGTCCCTGGGGTCCTGTAACTAGGGCCTGCTGTTGGTGCCCTAGACCAAGCTGAAAAAAAGGAGACAGAGTTTTCTGTTCAGTGGCCACCAGACTGTGGAACTGTCTTCTTTATGATTTTAAATCAGTGGTCTCTTTTAAAAGCCAGTTAAAAACACATCTTTTAAAATCTGATTTCTATTAATTTCTCTTGATTTGTTTTTTTTATCAGTTGTTGGCTGTTGTGAAGCTGTCATGATCCTGGGTCTCTGACCCAGCGTTTTCAGTTTACGTTTTGAGTTTCTAATAGTGCTGTCTGCGTTAATCTCATTAAAATAACGCTAACGCCATAACCGCATTAACGCGGCAAATCTCCCTTAGCAAGTTAGCGTGGATCGCCCTGTGCGTGGGGCTGCACGGCTGCGTTAAGGCGGTTAGCTCGTTAGTGCGGTTAGCTTGCTAACGCGTTTGCGCAGCCCCACGCACAAGGCGATCCACGCTAACTCACTAAGGAAGATTTGCCGCGTTAAGGCGGTTATGGCGTTAGCGTCATTTTAATGAGATTAACGCTGACGGCACTGGTTCTTAAGTTATCCCTTTAAATATGTTGAGTAATGGGATTATCATTTGGTTACCTTAAGTTTAGTTTAGTTAGGTTTCACTTTGGTCTTCTCTGTTAGTCTGTCATGTTTCTTGCCCTCTTGTCCATGTTGTCAAGTTTGTGTTGTCATGTTGTCGTGGTTCTATCTTCCATCTTCCAGGTATATTTGTATCCACATGTCCAGGCCAAGTTTCATGTTTAAGATTTTTCCCTAATTAGGTTGTTTATTGTTTATTCTCATCTTTGTTTGCCTTAGTATTTTTCCATCAGCCATATTAAACGGCTCGCCTTTTGTCCTCCTCACATTCATACAGTCTGCTTCGGCATACTGTGACAGAAGCACTCTATGATTTTATATTTTGAAAGGTGCTTTATAAATAAAGTTTTACTTACTTACTTACTTACAAGCTTTAATAATAGCAATGCTAATGATGCTAATAGTGCAGGGGAATAACAAAGTCTAAAAACCAGGAAACACTTGGAATATCTAGCTCGAGGCAGAGAAAGGATACACAGCTAGAGGGGATAGCTCAAAAAATGGGCAAGGGAGTACTGGAACAATATATACAAAAGGTAATCACTCCCTCTATACCCACACCCAGTCTTGTTATCTTAATTTACTAACATTATGAATTATTCATTCTTGTTACACTAATGATTTGTGGTATGAAGAAAAAAAAGGCCACAGCAAAGTACGCTATGTTGCCAAAAGTAAATATTCCACTGTCAGCTGTTAGTGGTATTATAACAAAGCAGAAGTGGCTGAATTGTTCCGTCACAGAGCAGATGCTGAGGCGCATAGTGCATCCAAACTTCATGTGGCCAAAAAAATTAGCTCAAGGACACTGTGTAGAGAGCTTCATGGAAGCTACAGCTCTACACATCCAAGCCTTACAGTGCAAAGCACATTGCCACTGGACTCTAGAGCAGTCGAGACTTGCTCCCTGGAGTGACGAATCACGCTTCTCCATCTGGCAATCTGATGGACGAGTCTGGGTTTGGCAGTATCCAGGAGAACAGTACGACTTTTTGGACAATTTCATGTTCCCAACTTTATGGGAACAGTTTGGGGATGCCCCTTTCTGTTCCCTCATCGTGCACCAGTAGACAAAACAAGGTCCATAAAGACATGGATGAGCAAGTTTGGTGTGGAAGTACTTGACTGGCCTGCAAAGAGTTCTGCCCTCAACCTGAAAGAACACCTTTTGGGGTGAATTAGTGCAGAGACTTTGAGCCAGGCCTTCTCGTCCAACATCAGTGTCTGATCCGACTAATGCATTTCTGGACGAATAATAAAAAATTCTGATAAACACACTCTAAAACCTTTCAAGAAACTGTTACAGCTGTAAATATTTGGCCGACATCATTTTAAACCCTGTAGATTAAAAATAAGATGCTTCTCCAGTCCATGTGTGTTTGAAAGCAGATGAGCAAACACTTTTGGCAATATAGTGTATCTCTGGCAGATTTTGGCATTTTCTACGTGCAAATTTATGATTTTTTATTTTTTACTTTTTGCTCTTCCTTTTTCTGGCCTTTGCTTAAAAGAAAGTGTGTTGGCTTTTTTTGTTTGTTTGTTTTTTAATGTGGGATCCAATCTTCAGCACTTGGAAAGTATGGCTCATCACTGCTTGGACCAGGATCACACCGGGATGTGTGAAATGCCTATGCCAAAATAAATCCAGCGGCATTGAATAATTTAATTGATGCTTATTATAGATAGTGCCCGACTCCTCCAGATTTTACAGGCTCACTAAGCCTGTCTGCGGGCGCCGGGAAAATGCTCATCCTTGTCACTTTGTGATGGGTTGCCTTGTTGTTCGCTTCTCTCGCTTCGTCTACAGTGCAGAGTCACAGTTGAGATATTTCATTAGCAGTGTTGTTGAAATAAATGAATGTAATAAGTTCTACAAGTTAAATTAGGACCATAAACTCAGGCTCAGCCCACTGAGGCTGAACTTTCAGGAAACAAATCCGAGGCCTGTGCAAATTTTTCAGATAGAATGATCATTACCTGCAATTTACACCCTTTCAATTGTTAAAGATCTTTTTTTGCATAACTGATTTTTCCATTCAGTGAATTTCAAGTGACGTACTTAAAGGGTACATTTTCAGAATGCTGATAAAAGGAATGGATTTTGTAAATTCTTGTACTTCATGATCTAATAAAGGTCTGTCAGCTCTATTCCCTGGAAGTATTTAAAGATATCACACATTTTCATTCCAAGATGTCTATAAATACTTCACGATGCCATTTTTTAAATCGTATGATCACGAAGCACAAAAATATGCCGAAATCCATTGCACATGTGTGATTTTTCAGATTTCTAAGCTACTCCTTTTCTCCCTCTCTTCTCTGCGCAGCGATCCAAAATAGCAGTTTACGAGAAGATGTGGTCGTACATGAAATCCGCTGAGCCCTCTGTGTTTGTTAAGACCACACCCGATGGCGTAGCCCGGGTACGAAAGTCGAAGGGCAAGTTCGCCTTTCTCCTCGAGTCCACCATGAACGAGTACATCGAGCAGCGGAAGCCGTGCGACACCATGAAAGTCGGCGGGAACCTCGACTCGAAAGGCTACGGTGTGGCGACGCCCAAAGGCTCAGCATTAAGGTGGGTGGAATAATATAACAATATCCCCTATGTTGTTATAGTATTCCACCTACCCTGATGTTCCCCTGTTGTCATTCTCTTCTCTTCCTCTCCTTACTTTTTTTTTTCTTGTTAATGGACACAGAGGTAATGGTTGTATGCCTTTCATTGCACTTAGATACAAAAGTTAATTAACGATATTTAATGTTGTATTTCTAAAGAGTTGCCGTTTTATAGCAGAGCAGTCAAATCCAGATAATGAGACTAAAGCTAACAATAATTTCATATTTATGTCTCTCTCACTGCTTTTCTCTCTCCTTCGATCTCTCCTTCTGTCCCGTGTGCTGTCCTACCTGACTGTTGTGTTGTCACTTTTAATTTAACAGTTCAATGGTTTTTCAATTTAGCCCTTAAAAGCTGCGCTGTCACTTGTGACGAATGTTAATTGCATGATGTTTGTTGTTGTTACTTTTCTTCTCAATGACAAGTGTCCCCATCCCGCACACTTCAGTTCTAAACTACGTAACCCTTTATGCCACCTTTTTCCAAGATTTAACACTGTCTCTACCTCATACGAGCCTTTCTTATCTCTCTATATTCCTGAAATTCTTAAACAATTTGTCCTTCCCTAGACCATTCTGATTTTAACCGATAGTTTTCTGTGCATAAGCCCCCTGCTTTGACAGTGGTAGCCTCTCTACCATTAACTACTCTCATGATGCTTAGTACGATTATTACCTTGCATTAGATTTCTCACGGACCTGTGCATTTTCTTACAAGTTATGTTTTATCGTTTCAAGAAATGCTGTTAACCTGGCAGTTTTAAAACTGAATGAGCAAGGCCTCTTGGACAAATTGAAAAACAAATGGTGGTACGACAAGGGAGAGTGCGGCAGCGGGGGAGGTGACTCCAAGGTCAGCCTCGATGTCACCACAATCGGGTACCATAGTGCAGAGTAATCGGCAAGGCTGTTGGAACAAACCAACCAGAACCAAACCAACTGTCTGCCCCCAACCAACCTGCTGCTGCCCCAAAGGCAGATTACCAAATTTACCGACAGTCTGACCAGACGGCTTAACGGCTCAGATCAAACTGAGGAGCTCTTGCTTAACCAACAGAAAAATATTTATGGATGCCAAAGGTAAACTTCTACAAGACGAAGAAGAGTACAGAAGAGAGTTAGGACACATGTTTCTGTTTGACAAAGTAGTGTTTACAGGAAAGGACAAATGTGAATGTGTCTGCCCTGCCGCTGTGAAAGGTTGAGCCTTGTTTATTCACCCTTACTCACGTGTGGGACAGATCACCCAGCCTCAAATATTAGGGCTTTATTTAGGCAGCTTTGATGAGTATAGCCAGTTGGTCTAATTCAAGAACAGACTTTGCCAGCGACACTGAACTGAAAAGGCTTTCATTTTAGGTGAGATGAGGTGAGGTGAGGTGAGATTTGCTAATCCTTTAAAATATGGCTTCGCAGTACTTCACCACTGCTGCTTCACTTCTATGACAGTGGACGACAACTTAAAAGCCAGTTCACCTTAATAGCAAACAAATAAAAAAACAGATCAACCGCTAAACGGCCGCTCAACAGAGGCCGACAAGAAAGCAAGGGGAACAGCGGCGTCTTGAGGGGACTAAGCATTGCAGGCAAACGTGAGAAGTCTAATTAAAGAAAAAGACTTTTTAATGGGAGCTCTGGTAAACCACCTGTGGTTTGGTTCCACTGCATGCAGTTTTAATTGAACACATTAATAACCCAGCTGTGACCCTTTTGACCATCAGATCTCTCCATCTTTAACATGTGGTTAAATGATGAATGACTGTCCCGTGACAGCTTAGCGTAATGCCACTTAGACCTAAGTACCATTAAGCATTGTGCTTCTCTCTCCAGATTACATATACCATAAGGCACGAGTATGATATCTTTTAAAACGCAGGTCATTTTTATGACAAACGATGCTGTCGACACACATAGGATGATATAGGTGGGCGACATGGCGACATTACAGTCAAGCTGCAAGATCCCATGAAATGCAGATTGTGTCTTTACGCTCTGTCATTTCTGTCATGATTGGCTTGGACTCCAATGAGCAGGTAAGGAGCTGCGATGCATTTCTGTACTCACCGCAAGAGGCTTCATGAGGCACACGTGAAATAAAGCTAAACAAGGGCTTTCATTACTGAAAAGCATTGTTCAAAAGTCACATTCTTTTTCAGTGTTTTGCTAACATCGTTGTGTTCTGTAGTCAATGAGCTCAGGCCGCCTCCCTGTGCTGTTCAGAGCTTTTGAAAGCATCTGTCTCTTGCGCTGCCATCGATCTATTATCATGCACAGGTATGTACCGTCTGTCTGTTTCCTGGCTTGTTTTGACTCTCCGGGACTCAGTGGAAAGGTCTGATTAGGTGGAAATAAAGCGGCCTGAAGCGCTGTGTTCCAAACAGTGAACCGCCTGGCCCCTGTCCTGCTCACAACTACATGCTCCAGCCGACATCTGGAGATGCACATAAGCGTGCACGCGTGCTGCATGCGCACGCACTTAACACTGCTCTTTCTTGCCCTTAGGCGAAACACGGCGCTGCCTAGATTGAGTTTCAGACACAGAGCATGTTACAGGGTAATTGCATTGTTAATCAATGTCTCTCCAAGCCAAGACAATGGTATGGTCTTCACAGTCTGTTTCTCCAGATTGGTGATGAGGGATATATAGTGGTGTAATCTTCTCTCAGTGCATTATGCATTGCAAGACATCCCCTCAGGGGACATTGTTCCCAGGGAGTAGTCACTAATTTATCGATCCACTACATTTTCTTTGCTTCCAGTTTGCTTTTCCTTCTCACAGAGAGATTTACCTAAACCAGTATAGTCATAATACAACTACAAAATGATGATCTTTATTGAGCCATGCAAAGAAATTTTTTTACCTCCTCTGAAGTAATTTACCCCAATAGACTATTATGCAAATGTATGTTGACATGCAATACTACAATGTCATGATATACCTTCTGGAGTTATCAAGCAGCAGGAAACAGCTGTGTCAAACGTCAGATTGTGCAGCTGCAGGCAAATACGAGATGAGTTAAATTCCACCGAATCTTTTTGAGCTTAGTCCTGCAGCTGCCTGCAGTTTAGTTGGGACACACTCATCTGACACTAATCTGGTGTAATTGGAAGATAAGGTTTTCTTAGCGATATGTCAGGATAGAACATGCGAGAATTAATTAGGCTTTCACTTTTGGGCACAGTTGCTTGAATGGGAAATTGGTTGTAATACCTCCAGAATTGACTGTTGTCACTGCAGTGACAGTTAGCATTAGCCGACGCAGGATTACACTGACATTGCATATGCAAAGGTTTCTTTCACTGCTTAGATTTTTCTGTTTGTTAAGACAACTGCTCATGTTGGAATGAACTTGTTAAATGCTGCACTGAAAGCCTCTGCGACTACTACAACCCCCACACACAAAGAACCAGCGTGCACCAAGGCGCTTTTTGATGTTTATAGACTTGCAGATTGTACTTTGCGTACCTGCTTGTCGCCCCATGAACAGCGTCTGCCGATTACTCAAAGCGATATGGGTAGGTCCTGGCTTTAGAGTAGGGGTTTAAAGGTAATAGGTAGAATGCCTGCTCTTTGTGATGTTGAATAGCCAGGTGCCCTGCTTTATCGCTTTGTAAAGTATGTAGTAGTTTAAAAGTTGAATAACATAAAATAACATAATATAATGTTATTTATGTTATTTCCCACGTGAAGAACTCCTGTAAACCTTGCAGTATTGAAACTCAGTGAACAAGGCATCTTAGACAAGCTGAAAAACAAATGGTGGTACGATAAGGGTGAATGTGGAACCAAGGACTCTGGAAGTAAGGTCAGTCGCTGCAGGTCTTTTGTACTGATTCCAAATTGCATTTTGACGTACTGTTCATATGCAAGACAAAGACTTCTCTGACATCTATAGTATGCATTCTGTTTATTTGCTACACATAGTTTTTTTCTTTTCTTCAGTTTTTCTGCCACGAGCTGTTAACACAGCTCACCGGTGGCTTTAATCCAAGGCACTGTTTCCCCAGATTCACCGTTTTGTTTTTTTTTTCTTTTTATGCTGTAGAAATGACTTTTTGACAACATAAAGACTCATTTTTGTGTGTGAAAACTGTAATGGTAATGCTGCGGGGACGTTTCTAAAGTGCCTTTAAGACACACTCTTTTGATTGAATCACAGCAGTTAATAGTTGTTGATAAATGCTATTTTTTGCTCATTTTCATTCTTGACATTCATGATACTTTGACCATTATGCTGCTGCTTCTATTTACCACACTGTTAATGAAAATTTGATTTATTTGTGTTGTTACTAGTTTGCATCAAGATGTGTCTATTAGATTCTTTGGCCTCCTGTGGTGTGATGAACAAGCAAAGCCTCTTATTGTGATGATTTACACAAATTCAACTTCTCGAAGCGGAGAGAGCACCGTAGGGTGTCCTCTAAAATCATCTGGCTGCTTTCGGATGAGGTTAGAGGTTTTGTTTGCACATTGCAAGAAGTTGAGGAATGTAATACACCCACTATTTAACCCTCTGAGATACAGTTAAAGCTTCAGGTTACAGGTTAGAGTTGCTAGATAGCATCATGGTAACGCCATGCTCATAGGGTTAAACTGCAAATAGTAAAACTCCAATGAACAAATTTTATTGAATATGTTTGGTAAGTGAACAGCAGCAAAATGGTTTGATATATATTTTTATATAGTGTTTTTTAATTGAGCTATCATTCATCTACTATGAATTTGACTGTATTGTATGACAGTGTTGCCATTAGAGAATTGAAAGGGCAGGGATGTTCACAGCTGTCGACCTATGCGATACTGACCAGCTTCCTTATATGGTCAAGAGCAGAAGCCATTTTACATGTATGAAGCATAGCGCCAGGTTAGCTCTACATTCACCAGCAAGAGTTGGCTTCTTTCTCCTAAGTGGAGAACGGTTTGACTATATCTGAATCTCAAGTTCCTCATAAATTTGTAACATAGCAATATAATTTCAGTTGAAATTGCTTAGCAGCTCGTTACATGTTTCATTTCTGTTGCTTGTAGCTGTTAGTAACCATAAACAACCTTTGGTAGCATCAGTAATATAGAGCATGATAATCTAGAGTATGATCATTTACCACTTAAGTCAGTTTTACTGTTGAGTCGAGGCTCAGTTTGAAGGATGCAGGCTGCATTTTGTTCTTTTGCCCTAGCTCCACTGCAAAACTCTTAACGATGTTATTCACTTCCCCCCAGGACAAGACAAGTGCTCTCAGCCTAAGCAATGTGGCTGGTGTCTTCTATATTCTGGTCGGAGGGCTGGGGCTGGCCATGATGGTGGCACTGATAGAGTTCTGTTATAAATCACGACAAGAAACCAAACGGCTGAAAATGGCCAAGAATGCCCAGAATTTTAAGCCGGCTCCCCCGACCAACACCCAGAACTTTGCCACATACAGAGAAGGCTACAACGTATACGGAACCGAGAGCGTTAAGATCTAGAGGTACGTCGCCTCGCCTTACTATTCCCATCATGCACTCCTGCCATATCAGTCAGAATTAAGTCTTCCACTGTCTGTTTGGTATGTAGCTACTGTTTGTGAAATTGTTTGGTGAAAAAGCACACTGTTGTGTAGCATATAGCTTTGTGTGTAGCATGTCAAGCAACACGCCCGATCGTATCAACCTACAGTATTCTGTTCTTTGTTTTGTTCTGTGACACAATTTAAAAAAATGACCCTGAGAGGTTAAACACACTGCCACCTAAGAAAACACGCGCAAACAGAAAAACGCTACAAAAGGACACAAAACACAAAGAAAGGTGAATAAAAGACAATGAAAGAAGAAAAAACACAACAAAAGTAATAAACTGGTTCTTATACGACACTTTTTTACTCTCCTTGAGCATACAAACCACTTTATACAACCTGCCTCATTCACACAAGCACTTTCTTCTACTGCTAAGTGCTTTCTATTTAACATTCAGGCACATTCACACTTAGATGGATGCATCGGAAAGCAACTTCATCTTGCAAAAGAGTACTTTGGCATGCGGACTGGCTCGAATCACCAACCTTCCAATTAGTAGATGACCTGCTCTACCTCCTGAACTACAGCCACCAAAAAACTGTGTTTTGGAGGAGACAATAACGTGGCATAAACACTGCACTGAGACATGTTTAAAAGAAGTGGGTGAATCATATGTGTTGTGAGAGGGAAAAAGATGCAGGATAATGTGCGTTTTAATCGCATGATTCATATACATGTTTACCATTAGCCACTTGTAACTTCCGCAGCTGTTCCATCACATTATTGTTCCTACAAAAACACTTTAGTTCTGTTCTGTGATGTTATTTTGGAAACTCTTGCTCCTTTTTTTAAATTTCCGTTGGGTTTTGTATGCTTTTGCAGCATTTTTCTATTTCCTTGTGTTTTCTTAAGTTACAGCGCATTTGACGTCTCAGGGCCACTGTACTCAGCATGAGGTAAAAATGAGGTAAAAACAGCATTAGATAAAGAACAACAACTATCAAACCATGTCATCATTTAACAAAAAGTTAGCTAAAATGCAAAAGCATTGTGTGAAAAGCTAAGTACGCCCATACTCCGTGCTCAGCAATTAAGATTAGCAACCAAATACTGCTAATCAAATGTACTGGATTAACTGATCAACAGCAAGTGTGAGTGTGTCTATAAAGGCAGCGGTTCTGGCAGAATTCGGGTGTGTGTTAACACAATGCCAAAGAGAGAAGACATCAGCAATAATCTTAGAGAAGCAATTGTTCCTGCCCATCAGTCTGGGAAGTCTATTTCCAAACAATTTAAAGTCCATCATTCTACAGTGAAAAAGATTATTCACAAGTGGAAAACATTCAAGACAGCTGCCAATCCTCCCAGGACTGTGCCTCCCAGCAAACTCACCCCAAGGTCAGACCATGCAATGCTCAGAGAAACTGAAGGAAATTCAAGTTTTTGTTTAGAATTCCTTTAGTTCTACAATTTTTTTTTTTTAAATCTTTAAATCTCACTTACTTTTGTGGCTCAGTCACTCAAGAGTACAAAATCAGATTGCAGCACAGGTCGCCTGCTGGGGTCGACATATCATAAAAGATATGTAATTAAAAAAAAAAAAGGCTGACAGATTGGCAACATGTTGCAATCAGTTGCAGTCACTCTGCACCGATGAGCGCAAGTGGTCTGCGGAACGTTTCTTTGCAACATGGTTGCCAAATCATTTTATTCTGACGTGTACAACAGATTTGTGATTTTAATACAGTTAATTGGTGTATTATGTCAGACAGTAGCATTGAACACAGTAGCTGACTGTATATGACTGTAGCATTACTTTGTTTCTGTTAAACTTGTTGATTAGCTTTTTAGTTTTGGGCTCCATGTAAGCACTAAATTCTCCTCTGTTTTCACTACCTAATCATTTGTCCTGTACAGGAAGGTAAGATATAGTGCAAGCTTTTCGGGAAACTTTATTTACCAAAGAAAAAAGCTGCATACTTCATCTAGAAGTATTACATGTAAGAGTGCATTCAATTTCCAAAACATGCTGTGTTTTGTGAAACCTCTTGGCTAAAAGAGAATTAAAATAGATGTAGGTTCAGGTTCTGGTAACACACTTACGCTTGTTTAAATTTCAGACCTCAATGAAATTGTTCCTTATTACGGGTCTTTCAAATTTCAGCTTATTTAATACAGTATTATCTTCATTTATGACTTCATGGCCTCATTTAGAGAAAAACAGACAATAAAGCAGGATATGTATGCAGCACCCACAGTTTTCAGGCAGATGCCTCTTGCTTGGCTTCAAAAAACAAACTAAAAAAAGCAGCAATGTGCAAAGTGGCCAAAATGTGCAAAAAAGGCATTTCCAAACTAGTTTCTGAAGCGACAGCAGGCATCTCTATACTCATTCTAAAGTAAAACCAAATGAAACGGGCCAAAAGGTGTTAAACTACATAGTGATAAAGGAATATGGGATGTGTGATAATTCTCCGAGTGTTTATCACTACAAGCAACCTCCACCACATTGCACAGAGCCATTGCTAATATAAATAGTGTTTTGAAGCTTTAAGAGCATCTACCTTATCCTTACCAGGAATATAGACCACATCATCCTGAATGATCCACAGAGTGCACTGACCTGTTTTCATGGGTTTGTTTACTACGCATAATTCTACTGGAAAAAAAAAAACCTCCAGAGAAAATGTCAGAGACCAATGAGAAGTTGCAGACTACCTCTGCAGCAGTTCTACAGAAATTCACTGAATAAAGATAAGCATGCACTGATAGGGACATAATTAAAAATTCATCTTGGATTTGATCAGATTGTTTGCACGTGTGCTCTCATTAGACACAAAGTGTGACTTGTCAACAGATTTTCATTGAGAACACATTTTTTCAATCAGTTCTTTATTCTGAGCGAAGGAATCCACCGGCGCTCATTTCTTTTCTTTCGTTTCGACTGTTTACACAAGAGGCTTCTGTAGTGTGTTTCTGTGTTCTTCTGACTGGTTTGAAGTGGGCAGGACTTGGTTGGAAAGAGGTGATGTCATGTGCGTCAGACAGTCAAAGTCTGATCACAGTCGAGGGAGTTGTTTGCCTTTCCTTCCCACAAACCGTGTCAGCACAGTCATGATGAAATAGGTTAGGATGGAGGCAGAAAGATGTATTTTTCCCTCATGTTGTTAATTTGGTTAAAGATATTTGATGTTGACGAGTGAATTGTAGAGCCTTTCAAACAAAGCTTTATATAATAAAAGATACTGCATTTCAGCCAATAAGGAAATCCCCACATTTTATTTTGTAATAAAAAGTCATGTGTTCAACATGAGTTGTCCAGAACAAAAGTTAACTTTTTCCATTGTTTGCTTTTGTTTTTTTGTGCTGTCACAGGTTTAGGAAACATTTCCATTTTCCCTTACAACTGTGACTATATCTAAGAAAGGCACAGGATCACGAGGATTGCCAGATCCTCCTGGGCGGACACGGCACGATAATCTGCAATGACGACACGACTGGACTGGTCATGGGACGAGCCTGCGTGGTTCCCTCCTATCAGTGCCTTATGGAACTCCAAGTCCAATCAATGCAACTCATTGATAATATTGCTTTTTGCTTGAAACGCATACAAAACAGAGGACTGGTGCAGTAATATATCTATATATATATATTTATATATATAGATATATATGACGTGACATGAATGAGAGAACAAAAGCCATCATTTGCAACCCTAAGCACATTTTGAAGTGCCAGAAAGACGACAAATCTCACATGACAAGTGTATAATTGGTTTCTTGTATTTAATGCGATCAGATTACTCTTCATTCTTCTGCTGCCAGATTTTCACTGGTTCTGTGTGTTCAGATTATTTTATTAGATCCACACAGTGCACTGTTACACACTGGTTACAATGACATAGCTTTTATACTGCTCTAAGTCACTTCTAGTGACCATGTACTAGTTTTAAAAGATTTATCTTATTAGAGTGAAATGCTATTTCAGTCCAAAACAATGACGTGTGTCGTTTGTACTCTTAACTCTGGTGCTGCTGCCACTGTCTTCTGAAAGTTTGACGGGACCCACGGAGATGAGAAGATGACCTGGTTCGGCTTTCACGCGCTACGGGACCAGATCATAATTCACACTTCCGATACTGCCAAGAGTGTGTTTTGTATGACGAGTGTGTAAAGCAAAGTATTTATGCCTGGGGAAAGAGAAATCTGTTTGTGATTTACAGTTTGTAAAATATCAAAGGGGCACTGACTCACTAAGGTTTGTCGCTCCGAACAGTGTTTTTTCCTGAGTCATTCAAGTCTTCTGTACATCAAAGTAATACCAAACAAAAAAGGGTAATTCAATTGTAGATTAACTGCAGTCCAATTAAAGGATAACAGTAATGGCTTTTAAACTGTAGTATTTTGGATTACCTTACCATTTTCGTTAACAACTGCACATTTTACAATGAGCTGTGGTTCGCTTTTTGATTTGATTTCCTTTAATGAGCATTACAGTGTTTAGTGACTTCACTTAGTAAATGAAAATTACAAAAAAAAAAAATTATGAATAAAATGGAAAATAGATTTCTACAAGGTTAAACCAGGGAGAGTCCTGGAGCTTAGCACATTTACATATTGCTGTAAGAATTTCTTTTCTTTCAAAAAGACTGTGATTCCATAGGATTTAGGGAGACACTTATCAAATCACCTGAAACTATGGGCAGATAGTTTTATATATATAAATATATATAAATATTTAAAAAACTGACAATGTGAAAAAAAGAAAGAGCAAACAGAGAAAGATGTGTACATTTAGATAAACGAGAACTATTTATATGACACAATTGAATATTGATTTCCCCTTTTTTCCTCCTTGTTTGTTGTTTTTTTGTTTTATTTTATAAGAAATTGCATGTGAAATCAATGATGCTTGACGAGCTCTGCTACTCACAAAGCCACCTTAGGTTTAATGCTAGAAAGCCAGCCCTAGTAATTCTTTTAGTAGAATCACTTTCACCGTTTTTGTTTTCTATTTTTTCTCTTTTCTTTTTTTTTTGTACGTCTCACCTTCTGCAAAAAGAAAACATAATATCGCCAGGCGTAGTAGTGGGTACAAAAGAGCAAAAGATGCATGCATAATTTGCTGAACCTCATTAGTGAGGCGCTGTATAGAGAATTTTAATACATTTTGTAAATAAAAATGTACAGAAACGGTTCCTGTGTCCTTGTGCGTGTGCTTTCACAACATTGTTTAAACCCGTCTGCGTTGAACAAAACACTGGGGCTGATTCAGTGGCCTGAAGGGATTATAGGAAAACATCTCAGCAGAGGTTAAACACACTGCATACTTTAAATCGAGCATGATACTGCTGGAGTATGAGCATCCCGGGCAGCCCGCTCCCTCTCCTTGCAGACAGCAACACAGAGAGCAGAGTTTTTCCCTATACCAGTTCAACATTGATCTGTGGAAGTATGTGTGCATGTTTCGGATCAATAGTTAGCACCATCTGGTTCTCTCTCTGTGTCTGCATTGCATCTACTGATTGAGGGCTCCATTGACAGCTTCATCTGGCATGTGATCTTTTTTTCGCCTTCTCTCTCCATCAGATGCTTTGCGACACAATCAATAATGTATTATTACGGCCGCAAACTGCCCGCACACAATACTGCGCACGCACACGTGTCGCATCAGTCATAATTTCAGCGCGCGTTTTCAACTTTTTAAAACTATTTTTCAGGGAGGACGCATTCATGTGGATTTACTAAAACAAATCCAGCCAAGGGAAAGGAGAGTGGGGGGTGTTAATCACGTTAACTCTCAGCTTCTTATTCCCACAGTGTAAATTCTCACATACACTGCAGAGTAAACCAGGCACAAAGCGCAGTAGATTGCCCAGTCTGTGTTATTTTACTAGTCTCTGGGTCTATATTGTGTGGTAAAAATGAAATTCCTTCTTCCAGAGATGCAGCCTGCCACAGCTCAAATAACAAATCCAACATGGCAAAACACCAGCTTTTTTTTTTTTTTGATTCATTTCTGGATGCAGACTCTATGATTCAGGATTTATTCACTGCACCAGTCCTGTGGAACAGACTTGGGCTGCATGAAATGCCACTCCACGATCCAAACAACCCATTTCTGACAAAGCATGAAAGGATATTGCTTTTTTTTTTCGTTCTTCTTTTGCTTCACTGCCTCGCCTTTTGTCATTTTTTTTTCCCTTCCCGTTTTTGTCTTTTATTCTTTGTTATGCCTGAACTGCTTCCAAATAGGAATAAGACAACGTGGGGGAGTGGTGTGCAAAGATGGCACTGCACTGCAGTAAACGATGCTCATGAGACTGTTCGCTGGAATTAGTTTATTCACCTATCAAAGGTGGGTGGGGAGGAGGCGACATAGTGGCAGCACTTGTGCTGCGAGACCAGGAGAAAAAAAACAAAGGGGCAACAAGCAATTAGGACGAGTCCTTTCATTCAGAAAGTGACACGGGGAAAGGAAGTGTTAATCTAATCAAAGGACCAGGAGAGGACATTTCCTCCCACAGAGGACAACTCATCACCCCCCACTGTGGGGTAGCACACTTTCTCGAATGTGCTGAACTGTGCGACTAGAGGCTGGCTTCTCGTGATCACTGCCTCTTTGGGCCTGTGGCTGTGAGACTTAATCTGATATAACATAGGCTCTGTCACTATGTGTATGTGTGTCTGTGTGTGTGTGAGAGAGAATAAGAGAAAGACAGAGGGAAAACTGAAAAGGCAGAGGGAGGACGTGTCATGGGGAGGATACTTTGATTACTGTAGAATAAAAGAACTTTCTGGTTCAATAGCTCTCTCACTTTGCAGCTTACTGCAGTCTTTCGCCCTATCTCTCTCTCCCTTCAAGGACACAATGAATAAATCAGATTCCAACTCAGTTGTTCTACTTCTCCCTTTCCTCCACTTTAGCTCTTCAGCTGTCTTCAATTGCACCTGAAGAGACCTGCACTTGAAGTTCAGTTGACATTGATCAGCTTCCAAAACATGTGCCCTGATATTTAAACACACACAAAAGAGTAACTCAAAGTCCTTGCTGCACGCAGAGCACTTTTATCCACAGATTTTTGGCATAAGCACTTTTATCCCAAGTGCAGCTACACTCTAAGCTCTGTTCTTCGCTGTTATGCGATGTTTTAGCATTACCACATTCTCATTTGCTTTCATTAAGCTTTTTGAAGTGCATTTTAATGAATGCAGTGACAATAAAGACGTGGAGAGGTAACATGGAGATCATATATGGAGCCTCTGGGGCACCTCGGGAAAGAGATATGAAATGAATATTAGCACAGAAACATCATTTGTATTCTGCGCTTGAATAATTTACACTAACCGTGGCTCGCAAGTCATTCTTTAACATCAACCATTACATAAAGGATTTACATTTGCTTTGTTTTTGGTAGACGTGTCTCCCATTTATGCAAAACGCCCTTCCTCCAGACGGTGAATAATGCAGGTGTGACTCACAGAAACCATACAGACAGCAAGAGGAGATCCTGTTCCTGTTTGATCAAACCTGAATGGGCAAGACTCGTGATACGACTTTGAACACAGTGTAATCGCTGGCGATAGACGCGCCAGTACATGGATGTGCAGAGACAGCTGTTCTCATGGGAGTGTTGTGCATCAGGGTCCACAGTTAATAGAGAATGAATGGCGCAATATACAAGACACATACACTCGACTACCATCCTGACAGCAAAACACTTCAAAGTGAAAGGTCAGACGAGGATGGAAAAGAGACGCTCAAGCCCTCAGGAAGAGGCTTCTAATATAAAAAGGCACCTACTCCAGCAAAAGCCTTCTCTCAACTGCTGCTGCATACAAGCAGCTAAAGAAAACATTTTAACTTATGTTGGCTGGATTCTCATGTGATCGGTGGCTAAGAAGAAAAAATGGAACACTTGCTTCAGGTGTCTCAATTTGACAGACAGTTGCATATCACAGAACTCTCCCGACTCTGTGGTCATAATCAAAAACTCTACCCCCCCGACATAAAGTCTCAGATGCTTTTCTTTTTCTTTAACCTGCCATGCTGATACCCTAGGTCATAATTTTCTACATTTCTCATTTCCATCCAAAGATTTAAAAAAGGGACTTGGGGAGGATTCAGATGGTGTTGAACTCCTTGTCCAGAGCACAAAATATCTTGCGGCTGCGTTACGTTATTAATCACTAAAGCTCCAAGGAGAGCTTGGCAGTTCTTCTACAACAAGGAACTTCACCCTAATATTAGGACTCTCTGGGTGTCTAACAAAGCCTTTGCACTTTGATTCTGAGGGACATCTGTACTTCATCTGCAGTCATATTTATTAACATATAAGTGTAAATCATGCACATGTGCGCCTACAGCTGCTGATATGAGAAACACTGGCATATTCTTCAATTACAAAGCAAACAAGTCATTTTTACATGTTGATTTTTGCAAATAAACAAGTTAGAGCATGCTACTTGGGACATTTTTGCGGTGCTGCTATTACTATGACTTGTAACCATGGTGTAGATCTATAATAGCTGTTTCCATATGTTGGCTGTCTGGCTGCTATGCAGCCATATAGCCTGTATAACAAAGACTTAGAACATGTATCAACAGGTGAATCCCTGTTTAAATTCACTTGTATGATTCTAAACAAGTAAACAGAGATGAGATCGAACAGGATCTTCACAACACAGATGAAAACCTGCAGGTGCTACAGGACAGCTGCAAGACAGCATGGGCCCATACCCCTGCAGCGTGTTTCTTAGCATCGAGCTGAATCTGTGTGTTGATGAACTGGAGGAGAAAGCAAGTCCAGTGCAGTGTGCGTGAGCTATTGAGTGTGTTGAACTGATTTATGCCAGCTTTGATTGTTCGTGTATGTAGGTTTGTACTTTCACTGAACATGTGGAGGACAGAGAAAAAGCACTGAAGGGATTTGCTGTGTTGTGATCACAAAGATCAGAAAAAAAGAAGAAGGAGGGGCCGAGGGCCTTCAGAGCTTTATTTAAAGCTCCATTAGAACTGACAAGGAGCTCAGTGTGACATCACATCTGGACATTGCACTTGTTCATTATAGCTACAGGCTGCAGGCTTTTATACAGAAATAGATTTGGCATACAGTTGAATGCAAAATCATACTTTTTCAAATATGTTGGCCTAGATGTAGTGCACACTTCAGTGTACATTTATGAAATGAAATGATCATTATTCATCAGCTGCCACAAGCTGTCTTATTTCTCGCAAACAACAAATTGCCTTTGTGTCTAGTCTTCTGAGTTGTGCTGGTCACTGGTCTTCAGCACTGGCTTCTGCAGTCTAATCTGTAATCCAAACATCATAATAGCTTTTTCTGTGATGCTATGATTAGTTCCCACACTAACAAAAGGGAATATGAGTCAGCTGTGGTCCTGCCCCCTAGAAACCACAGAGTGGCTGATGCTGAAATTTCAGCTGCATGTTGTTGCTCAACTGCAACATTTCCTAAATCACATTATGGATTTTTACTAAACTGTGAGGAATTATAACAGTCTCACGTATTCATAAATAAACAGATGATCCCATCGAAAGGTCACCATGAAATTTCTTCACTCGTACATGAGTCATATGCAGTGATATCAGACACTGATCTGGGCCATGCTTCCCAAAGGCTTCTTGAAGCTTAAATGATTGTAGCACACGGAATTACAATCACATTAAGATTATCTTAGCCTTAAAGGAACAGTTTGACATTTTGGCAGATTTTGCTTATTGGATTTTCTTGCTAAAAGTTAAAGCCCTTTTACAGAGAGAGTATTTCACAATATTTAAACAGGCGGGTGACAAATTAAAGTTTTATATGTGTGTGTGTGTGTGTGTGTGTGTGTGTGTGTGTGTGTGTGTGTGTGTGTGTGTGTGTGTGTGTGTGCCAAGTCAAACATGCAGATCATCAAAAATGAGATATCCATATGAGATCACTAGAGGCTGAAGTTAAAGACCGCCACCAGTGCTGTTGACCAGCAGGGGGCTGGTGGAAACTACTCTACTATTGGCTGAAGACAAAGGAGAAGGAGAAAGGGAAAGCATGCTCGGACATAGTGAGAAAGAAGGAAAAGCAGGATATGTGTGAAAAAGAATATGTAGATATATATATACATATATTTAAAATCTCCCTTTTCACTGAAGCTTAAGTCCTCTACCAGAGGCTTGGGAGTTTGAGGGTTTT